TGCGTATATTAGCTGCGACATATGAATCAAGATGCTATGACCGAAAACATTTGATTGACAGTTGATCGTTGATATATGATTGGATGAATTTAGGTGTTCAGGCTGACGTAGAACTAACTGGCCTGCAGAAGATAACGGAGAAAACACAGATTTTAAGACAGGATTTTCTGAAAATAGAAATTTCCAAAATGTTGGGCCCTTTAATGCCTCCCTTGTAGGATGATTTTTTTTTTTTGTTCCAGTTAATATTTAACATGTTCAACTATCCGTAAATCCCTTTAAAGAGAATAAAATTTTGCCCAGTTAAACGTTTCAGAGAAAATCCTCTAAAGTCTAATGATCAGATGTCCCAGTTTGTCGGCTTTAATTCCAGTGTTGATAAAGTAAAATCTTGTTTTGCTGCAGAGGCTCCAACTTGTTCTGTACTTCATCAGAAACCACCGTTTACCAGCGGTGGACAAAGTACTCAACAGCAGTACTAGAGTAAAAGTAATAATACTCATAGTCAAATCTGACTCAACTACAAGTAAAAGTTACTCAGTAAAACATCTTCTCAAGTTTAACTACTGAAGTATTTTCTTTTAAAAATACTTAAGTGTTCAGAAATCCAAATAAATGTTCTAATATCAGAACATTTCTGTCAAATTTTCTGATTAATTTTAAAGAAACTGTTACTTTCAGAAACCACCTGATGTATCGATGCGTAGAACCGCCTGATATAGATTCTACACCACCTGTAAAGAACTTCAGCATAAAAATACCACAACAAAAATAGAGATATTTTCATTACTTCCTATTTATAAACAAAACAAAAATAAAACAGAAATGTCTTTTTGCATAATTAAAATAATTTAAAGTCATTTAAACAATCGATTAAAAACTTGCATTTATTTACCTTTTATTGATAAATAAATCTAATTTTAAATAATTTGAGGTATTTTAAGGGATTATTTTCTGAGCTTAACAGCCTGAAATGTCTGAGAGATTCAAAAAAGTTTGTCCTCCTATGGTTTGTGCAGTGGCGGTTCTAGACCAAATGTACCAGGGGGGGCCAGGAGGGGGCCAGGATGTTTTCATTGGGGCAGAGAAAAGCCTAAAAATAAAAAAACAGGTATTCAAATATCAAAGCATAGAGCTTTGAATCCTGAGATTGGAGGTTCGATCCCCCACTCCCACAGACTGCCACTCTGGGTCCCTGAGCAAGACCCTTAACCTCACACTGCTCCCTGGGCGCCACACAATGGCAGCTCACTGCTCCCCAATGAGATGAGTTAAATGCAGAGAAGTAATTTCCCTCTGGGATTATTAGAGTATATAAAATAAAAAAAATAAAAATAAACAAAATAAAAATTATTTCAATATACATTAAGAATTTAGGAATTTAACTTTTTTTTACTTAATTGAAGTTGAAATTACAGTTTTCTATAAAATCTGAATTAGAATTTAATTTGATTTAATTTATTTGTTTTACGTTTGTTTTGTTTTGAAAAAAAATATTAGCAGATGAAAACTGGGATCCTATCTCAATACCACTGATGCTGTTTTAAACAGTTAATAAAACAGAATTTGTAAAGAAAAAAATGAAATAGATCCAAAGGATCTATCGGTAACCATTTCTGTCCCAGCGCAGATCATCATTAGAATTTCTTTGAGTACTATGTCTTCAGTACACGGGCCATAACAGGGGCCAGGACTTGATCTACAGGGGCCCCGGCCCCCGTTGGCCCCTGTCTAGAACCGCCCATGGGTTTGTGTGAGTCAGATCTAATATTCTACCTCTATGTGGACCAGAACATCCCATATGCAGTTAAAAAAAGTCACATGGCCTTCATTTATTAATCCACTCCATCGTTAAATACACTATTAATTAAATAAATAGTTTAATGTCTCATTACACAATTCAAAGCACATTTAAAATAAAATGATCAATTGAGTAACTTAATGTAATGGGGGGATGCAGCATCCTTGGGATAAGAGGATCCAGAGTTTTTGGATCCTGTGGTGTTTTTGCATAAAGTTTGCATGTTCTGCAGGTGGCTCTGGTTTCCTCCCACAGACCATAAACATGGCCGCTCCGTTAACAGACTGCTGCTTTGAATGCCACCTAAACAAACATTCATCTACATGAACCTTTGTTCAAATATCTTTACACCAAATCTCATGGCCGCAGTTGGGGAGCTGGAAGTGCTGCAGCACCCCCTAGGGGTGAGAGGGAGATTTAACAAATTTATTAAAAATACTTTTTACATTTTTAAAATTTCTTATGAATACTTTGGGAAAAGATTTAGACTTTTTTGAATGTTGCTATTACGTGTATATGGATTTTTATTTCATTATTTTGAGGCCTTATCAGCACAAGTTGATGGAAGCTATGTTGTCATGGCAACGTCAAGCAACGTCAAGCGTGGTCTCCCGCTCCAGGCAGCAGACTAGAAAATGTACAAAGTCCAATGACAGAAGCTAGGAGGTACGGAAGCCCAGAGTGGTCATACTCTACCTTTATTTTTCCTTTGCCTGTCGTGGCTGAACAACTAATTGTTTTTTCGAGATAACGAGATACTTATCTCATTATCAGGAGAAAATAGTTATTGATCTCTTGAGATAACAAGCTGATTAAGCTGTCTGAGTTGTGAATGAGGCTGGTCAACAGCCCTGGATTCCCAGTCCATCCATGCCTGTGGGGCCCATAGTTGTGCAGTCATGGTACCGCCTGTGTGCAAATAATCCGTTTATTACTTTCCTTTTGTCTTCTCACTCATTGTCAGGGGGTGGTGGATGATTGGATTGCATGCAAATCTTTAATCTGGACTCATTTTGGGGGTTAATGCATCTTATTCCAGGCGTAACACCGGAGCTGTTCAGAAACACCTAGAGGCATAGGTCTGACTGCTAATGAATCAGAAGGGGAAGCAAATCATCAAACCAACAACATTGTCTCGTTACCTTATAGTTAAATTTAGGATTATTTACAGGATTACACACTGGCAGCCATGACTTCTAAATCTATTGTCGTGTTGAAGGATGGAATCAGTTTTAACACAACAATCATCTCGTTATGACGATAAAACGGCTTCGTTATCTTTAGATAATGAAAAAAATAACCACTGTGAAAAAGTATCGGAGGGACACGGCCGCTCTGGGCTTCCGTAAAGAGTTAATACCTCAGAGTGCACCTCAACATTTGTACACCTGTAACCGTGGCAACCTGCCTGTAGCCTGCAGTTTAATATAACCATAATATTTTATAGTGTTATTTTGATCCTGTGTTCTTTGTGTAATGGAGAACTGTTCGATAACGTTGAAATAGTATAATGATATAATTACTGCCTTGTGGTTTGCAGAAAAGGATTTTGTAGCTAATAGAGTCACGTGTGACATAAACCCAGCTGACCAAATCTAAGCTGTTATGGTGAAGTTTTAGTTAATAGCTCAGATATTCACCTGAGAACTAATGATGTCTGTGTTACAGACCCTGGTTGCACTGAAGTGTATACGACAATAAAGTAGCGAACCTCAATCTATCTATCTATTTATTTTTATTGTATTATAAATAGGTCTAAAGGCTCAAAGGTCTTTTGTCCCAAAAACTAAACAAAACAGTTTTCATCCAGCGGCTCTGCCACATTTCTGGGTTTGTTATCATGACCTGAATCCCAAACCAGTGGAACTGATCCTGAAGCTGCTACTGGTGGTTCTGGGATTGCACATAAATGCCTATAAATAGGAGAGAGCTGCA